CAGCCGACGCCAAAGTAGTAAAAGAAACATGCTTACTAATACGAAATAAGTAAACAGTTATGTAAACTGAGCAAGACTGTGGTGATCCCTACAATAGATTGGGACAAAATATTAACAAAATGGTCCAGGGTCGAAACCCATGCAATCCATACTTGACGTTCGGTAAGAATCGCTGATAACGGTTAATAATCCAGAAACGATCATTCCAGCCTCCCCCGATCTAATTCTGACCAATACTGCAAGCCACAGCGTTGCTCCTGGTGCGGCTCTAGATCGAACCCCATAATGCGATCGGTTAGCGACCCTCTACCATAGAATTGGTAGGATTAGCCCTACTTGGAGTCGTGCTCACCGCAGATCATGGAGAACTTTCTGTTCGAAGATTGTGTATACAGCAGAATTTAATGGAACCATACATTTTGCAAGTGCTCATCAGCTGCGTCCTCTCGCTGCATAAAGTAATTAACGAAGGACAGAATACAACAATTGAATTCATACAGCAGAGGTCATAGAAACAGGTCAGCAAGGTCAGGAACCTTGCTTTGCCATCTGGCTCCCTGATTTACACCTCCCCCTGCCCGCATTTTTGCTTTAACGTTTTTTCCCCTATCTCACTGTCCATAATGCTTCACTTACTTACGTAACTAATTAGAATAGTTAGCCCAATTTACTAATTGACCTTCCTGACCTGTTTCTATGACCTCTTCTCTATGAATTCAATTGTTGTATTCTGTCATTTGTTACTCACTTTATGCAGCGAGAGGACGCAGCTGATGAGCACTCGCGAAATGTATGGTTCTATTAAATTCTGCTGTATACGCAATCGTCAAATTTGCACCTGGGAAAAGATGCTTCAAATCTTTCTGTTCACATAAAGTCTGACATTGATAGTCCTTCGTGGGATGATGATGATGATGTTGGTGCGCATCTGTTGAGCCTACGTAATGAAGGACGCAAACTGTATGGCAACTAAAACATATTTGATATTTCAACAAAATAAATAAGGAACTGAAGTGTGCAAATGGGGCCGCGTTCAGAGAGATAAATGTCCTTTATCATATGTCAGGCAGATCCGCCCGGTTCTTCGGGCCCACCCACAAGAAGATTTATGCTTGTGAATTGGGAGCTGTTGGATTGAACGGCAAAAGCATTTTCATGCCCGCCCTCTTGATAGTCACGCCAGGAAACTGGACTCGAAGAAGAAAAGTGGGCGTCGGCCTGTTCACTGGAACAGCTTGCAGGAGTTGAATGATCGTTTTCAAAGCACGCCGTTTTACCAGCACATTCGGTTGACAGTGGAAATGGAAGAGTGCGGGCTGGAAAGAAAAAAAAACAATTGAGGACATTGCCTTCACCAAGCATTATTAGGGAGTTTCTTTTAAATTTTACGACTCGCTACTATCCGCGCATAATTGTCGGCAAAATGAACTACGCCGTTTATCCGTTCCACATAGTAAAGAAGAAGACAGTTTAGTTATTGTTTTCTGCATTCGAAATCGTGCTAGAGTTCAGCGTCAGAGATAGCAGCAAAAGTAGCAAAAAGGACGAAAATTATGGGGCATGTAAGCCAATTAATTATCTATGACGTAAGTGCGAAGGTGACTGCGTAGGGCTCTGTATGCCAGAACCAACTCGATATATCGATTTATTGAGTCTTCTGCCGAGAAGTAGGCTTCAATCAATTCTCTGCTCGTTTTGCTTTCGGTGTGGACGAATAGTTTGACAGCTGTAAAGTTTAACTCGTGGCCCGTTTCGTATCATTATATTATTTTCAGCGAAGACAACCAAAATGCAGTAGGCCTGGAATGGGAATGTGATGAACCTACAAGCGACCATATCAAATTCGTAGTCGTAAAAATAATCGCCCATGCTGGAACCAAGACGAGCCGAGGATTGATTGAAGCCTGGTCCTTAGGTGGGAACAAAATCAGGCAGGAGTTTCCTTGGTAGCGCACATATGTTGTTATTTATATTTACATGCCTACACCAGATGTGTTGATCTGGTGCCGCGTACGGAGCCTTGCACAGTCACCTCCAGACTTGCGTTACTGATAATTGATTGGTTCGTACCCCTATAATGGTCAACTTTTGGTGTAGCTCTCTATAATGTCCCCTTGGGCGCGAACCTTCGCATCCCTCTATAATAATTATTAAAATGGTTAAATAAGTACATGGCTCTATTATAGGGAGGTAGTCCGACTCTGGAAATAACATCGGGATCTTACCCGTCTCTCCGCACTCCTTCCCCGAAGTCTGACTGTGAACCCTAATGAAAAGAGAAGAAAAAAGTACGTTTGAAAACTTTGTTTTCGTCAGCACTTGTTTTCAAATTATCCGTCATTATAAATTTTACTCATACGATACTCATACTCATATTTCTGTCTGCTATGAAAATGGCGCTAGCCTGACGTGACGAGTGACTGCGCCATTAAAAGTCGATTATTAGAGATCAGGAAAGCTTCTGATAAAAAAATTGACCTAAA